GAAAAGTGCGGTTATATGTGAATAATGAACTGGTCATGGCTTGAACTACTACTCAAAGTCGGACAGTATGGCCTTGATCAACAAGGCTTATACAATCACGGGGCTGCCTATAGGGCACAATCTAATTTGGATTGTTCACTGACCTACCATGTTTTTGGTTGCTTTTGCAGTAATAAAAATACGAATTTATTGTTTAATTTGCTCTTGCATTTTTTGACGTCGAGGGTTATATCCTATAGCAAATATAAAAACAAAAACAAACACACCCATGTTTCCGTTTGGCTTTGAAACATAGGCATTAGCCGAGCTTATCGTCTTAGGCCGATGCTACAATGCCTAATTGGTACCCAACGACATGTTTTAGGCATTGTATCGTTTTACAGTCTATGCCTGTTGGAACATTTCCGCCCGTTCAAACTTTCAAAAGCTAATTAATTGGAGTTTTTTTTCCTTGGAAGAAGCGGGATGGCTTCAACCCTCTAAATACATGTCATTTGTCCACCTGGTGCAGGATTTAGTGTGGGTTTGGTACTATATAGGGTTTTTTTTAATATATTTTATTTAAAAATATATTAAAATTATAAAAACATTAAAAAAAATATATATTTAATATATATTTTTTTTTATGTTAAACACATTTTTAAAACATTCCCAGACGCGCGCAAATAAAAAACGCAATGTCAATCAGCTCCTAGGCTTTTTAAATGTTTGTTGCAAGCTCTTTTTGATCTGGTGATGGAGTAAACTGAAGTCGTAGTTAATTGACAGCAAATGAATTCAAGCTTTAAATCTTTTGTTTTTTTTTAATGGAGTTAGGTTGTTAAAATTTTAACCTGATACCAAGCACTTGAGCTCATTATATATATAAAAATTGTTAATAGAATTCTATTATTTTCATTCAATTGGCCATTAAACCCTATACTCTGAGTCCGAGTCTTCAAAGCACTCGTTCTAACTTATTTCTTTGACGTCAGTGCTAAACAGTAATTAAACACCTTAATGTTTCTATTCAGATTGTCGACTGGATGGCGAGCAAGTGGCCAATCAAGCCAACAGGACCAACAATTCCATCAATGTTCTTGGACAAGCGGCTGGAGGACGACAAAGACTATGGTCTCAGCCTCTTCAAGCCAAATTCTGAAACTTGCATGAAATGGTTAGACTCCAAGGAACCAGGCTCAGTTGTTTATGTATCATTTGGCGGCTTCGCTGCTTTAACAGAAGACCAAATGGCAGAATTGGCCTGGGGTCTGAAAAGAAGCAACACTCACTTTCTATGGGTTGTAAGAGAATCAGAAAAGCAGAAGCTACCTGGCAACTTCGTAGAGGAGACAACAGAGATGGGTCTAGTCATAACTTGGAGTCCCCAACCAAAGGTCCTGGCTCACAAATCGGTGGGATGCTTCATGACTCATTGTGGTTGGAATTCAACATTAGAGGCTGTGAGCTTGGGAGTGCCAGTGGTGGCAATGCCACAGTGGACAGATCAACCAACTAATGCAAAGTTTGTTGCTGATGTTTGGCAAGTAGGGGTTAGAGTAAAGGTAGGTGAAAATGGGATGGTGACACAAGAAGAGATAGAGAGGTGTATAAGGGAAGTCATGACGGAAGGTGGAAGAAGGGATGAGATCAGAACTCATTCTGAGAAATGGAAGAAACTAGCCGTAATGGCTATGGATGAAGGTGGAAGCTCTGACAAGAACATTGATGAGTTTGTAGCGAACTTGAATGCATGCAACTCCAATAGCACCAAGAGTCCTGATCAGAGACCTTTTCTTTGTATTTTCTTTTTAAACTTAGTTTTTTATTTTTTTTTATTTTTAATATTTAATCGCAACAATCAATTATTTTAATTGTGAGATATATTTACATTTAAAATAAATATTTACCATAAATTAAAGATATTTTATATTATTAAACTTGTTGTTATAAAATATGCTTTATTTAAGAAGTTATTGATACTTCAAATGTAAAAAAAATAATATAAAATTTTAATAAAAATATATTTTCAAGTACTAATCACTAATGTTTTAACTTGCACACATTAATTTCATATATAATCATAAAAAAGTAAATATTATAATAAAAATATAAATTATTAGTTAAAAATCATGGAATAATTAAACAATTTTTAAATATTATTATAATTAATTATCTAAATAGTATTTTTTAAGATATAAAAATTAAAAAAAAATAAGGTCTAGGAGAATCACGGTCAAGGACATCTAAGACTAAAAGGATGCTTATATGCATCTACACTTTAGAGTCAAGCCCCTTTTTTTTAATAAATGGCAAACAATGTGTCATCCACTCACATATATTTTCAATCATTAAACTTGTTTTCATAATAAAAAAAAACTAACAGGATTCAAATCTTTGAATCTCAACAACCAAGATTTCAACCATTTTTTCCACCCAAAACATAAAAAAAAAAAAAAACTATTTACCTATGAAACTCCATTTACAACAACAAAACACAATTCAATTAACCTAAAACTCAAAATCAAACTAAATTTTAATTTTTTTCAAGACTTGATGTACTTTTCCTAACATCATTGAAGGTGAAAACTAACTCTATTTAGTTCATCTCTTAAAGATAAGTCCATATACATCAAAATCAAAAGTTATTGTGATCATAATCTAATCATATTACAAGAACTTAAATTTAAGGAGAAAAAAAACAAACTTTAGGACTAAAATGCAATAACCTACAATAAGAGAGATGAATTATAACAAAATCAAAACTTACAGGATCAAATGAAACTTTGGCACCTTTTATGGAAGTTATTATATTATTCTTTTGTGTCAAATTTGATCCCTAATCTTTTAATTTGTTTTTTAAAAAGTTAAAACTTAATTTTATAAAATTAATTATAAATTTAACACCAAAACATTCCATGATATATGAGTTAGACATATGAGTTGAGGGGGATAAAATAGACCAAAACATATTAAATACATGAAAACATGAGTCACATACTTTAAATGATGAAATTAAAATAAAATAAATTATAACAATTAAATTGCAAAAATTCTTGGAATGAGAAAAAACTAGCATTTATTGGCCTCTTTGTCTATCTACATTTTTAAACATGGTAAAATGATTAATTTATCATTCAAAATAAAATTTTAAAAACTTGCTTCTAGAGACCTTTTCATCTAATTTTTTTTTTTGTTATTATCAAGTTGAGTTAGATAGTTTGATATTTTAATAAACATAAAATTTTATTTAAAATAAAAGGTAGTTGATGTGTGCAACGCAAATACGCCTATGTATGAGAGGTGCTTACTACATTCTATGCTACATGTGGTATTTTCTAATGGCCAAAAATCTCCCTCCATTGTAACATGGGGATTTTCACGAGGTCTTCTTTTTCATGGGGTGGCTTGTTAGTGACCTTTATTTATTTTTTCCTTTTTTTTTCTTTTGTTCTTGTGAAATTCACGTTGATTATTCAAAATTTTAAAGTTATTCTTTTATTTATTGATATTTCAACTTTAATTTTTATTCGTTTGATTTTAAATTCTTATTCTTGATTCTTTTGTAAAATCTTGATTTGTTTTCAATTTTATTATTTAATCCCAATTTGTTATATGTTATTTTTTATAGTTCGGTCCTCATTATTTGATTGTTTTTTTTTGTTATTTTGTTAAATTGGCTATTTTTTATAGTTTGGTCCTCATTATTTGATTGTTTTTTTTTTGTTATTTTGTTAAATTGATTTTTATTTTTAATTTAACCATTCAATTAAGACTTTCTAGTTATCCTCTAATTTATTTTTTATTTCAATTTTGATCCTTATTGTTTTTATTTTTATTTTTGGTTTTGGATCCTTTTGTGTAATTGATTTTTTTTTTCCAAATTAATCCTTCAACATTTGATTGATTGAAAATTGAGTTTCGTGGTTTTTTCAAATAGGAGGCTTCTAATCTTATCAACCAAATCACGGGGTGGTTTTTTCAAATAGGGGGCTTCTAATCTTATCAACCAAATCACGGGTTTAAGAATCTAGCACGAGTTGATATTATTTTTTTAACTTATTTCTTTGTCAATTTCATCATTGTTTTTTTTTTTAAAAAAAATGGGCCTTGTGGTTTTATTTTCTATCGGGTTATTCTAATCTTATAACCTAAATCGTGAATTAACTTAGATTGGTTCAATGCATATTACTTAGATTATAGATTTGTCATGCTAATTTGGGTTGACTTAAATCAGGTTTATTATTCTTTTTAATCTAATTTTATTCTTTTATATTTAATTGGCTAATAATTGAGATACTTATTTCCTTTTCTTTTGAAAAATGATTTTTTTTCAAGTTAGAGTGATTTTTTTATTTAATCTATTTGTTGTCATTGTCTAATTTCTTTTATATAATCCAATTATAATAAAACTAGCTTGATAAAATTTATAACTCAAATTACAAATTATTTTCTTTATTTAAAACTTGCTTATGACATTTAAATATTATTTTTTATAAGAAAAATAATTAGAATTTGAGGTGTAAAAACAAAGAGAAAGAAAGAGAACAACTAAAAAAATGGTTTCTGGTGTGAACAGTAAGCCATAAGAGTGTCAAGAAGACATAATATAATAGTAAAGAACTTGAGATCTATATAATAAATTTAGAGTTGGAGCTAGGGTGAACACCTCTTATAAATACCTGAAACAACTAGGGTTTTACTTATTCATCTAGATCCATAAAATATACTTTTCAAGAAATAAGGTTTTCTTAATTTTTTTTTTTAAAAAAAAGCACACAAAAACATTATCAGTAATGTTAAGCTGGCAATGTTAGATCAAATTTTAGTATATGTGTAATTAGATTCAATATTTAAAAAATTAAATTCAAACCAATCTAAACCAATTAAAATAATTTTTTTATTTTTTAATATTAAAACATTAATGTTTTTTTAAAACACTAAAAAAGTATTTTTTCCGAATAAATAAACTTTTAAAACACAGTGCGCGGTGGAAACGCACTGTCAAACAGCCTCTAAGCCAAAAAGAAAGGGAAAACCTCCCGCTCATTTCCTCTTTCTTTCTTTCCAAAACTAAGACAACACAAATCAAAAACCCTTGATTTCTTTTTCTCAGTTCTCACTCCAAAACCTTTCTACCTCTCTCTTGCATTTCCTTTTTCTCCAAAAATAAAAAATGAGAGAAGAGCAAATAGAGAAGCTGCGAGGGGTAGTGCGCGACTGTGTGAGCAAGCACTTGTACTCCTCCGCCATTTTCTTCGCCGACAAAGTCGCCGCTTTCACCAACGACCCCGCCGACATCTACATGCAAGCCCAGGCTCTCTTCCTCGGCCGCCACTACCGTCGTGCCTACCACCTCCTCAACGCCTCCAAAATCGTCCTTCGCGACCTCCGCTTCCGCTACCTCGCCGCTAAATGCCTTGTAAGTCTTTGGTTTTGGATTTTTAATTTGAAATTTGATGGTTTATTACCTTTAGTTTTTTTTTTTGTTAACTTTTTTTTTTTTAATTGTGGTCAGGAGGAATTAAAAGAGTGGGACCAGTGTTTGTTAATGGTCGGTGATGCAAAGGTTGATGAGCATGGAGATGTATATGATACTAAAGATTGTAACGTTATGTACTTAGATAAGGATAGTGAAGATCGCGAGATCAATGTGAGTTTTTTTTTTTAATGAGAAGTTGTTCTTTTTCTTGCTTGGTTGTGTTATGCTATTTTTAATTGGCAAGATTGGATTTTCTTTTTAACATTGAAAGTTTTGTTCTTTCTCTTCTACAATTTTGTGTGAAATTGTGAATATTTATTTTTTTGGGTGCATTCTATCAGTTGATTGTGATAAATATGTAAAATATGCTATCTTGAATATGCATAGACTGTAGCTGTACTTATCACTAAAAATACTGCTTGGCGAAATGTTGTTTTCTCTGTTTTGGGACAGATTTCTGCAGCAACATGTTTTCTAAGAGGCAGGGCTTATGAAGCATTGGAAAATCGTGCCCTGGCTCGACAGTGGTTAGCTTTTCTCAGCGATCTTCTTTATCAAGATAGATTACTGTTTCTTTTGCCACTTTTTTTGTTTTGTTTTGTTTTCTGTATGATGATTGATTTGCTTATTTATGATGATTTAAGGTACAAAGCTGCTATCAAGGCCGATCCGCTATGCTATGAGGTACCTGCTATTGCAATTGTTTTACCCTTTCCTTCTGTTTGTAAGTTGCATAATAGAATTTCTTTGCTTTATTGTAATTGTGCATGCAACGGTCATTAACATAGCTTTCTATGAAAAACTGTGAATTTCCATATTAATAGCTTGATAAAGATTTAAGATTTTTCTTGATAGATTCAACTGAAGTTTTTAGTCTTTGTTTTTTGGACATAATCTTGTTTTCCTTTAGTTTTGCACATCATTTTTACTGATTTGGATTGGAAGTATGAATGATGGTTGTATCTTCATTGTTCCCCAGGCTTTGGAATGCCTTATTGAAAATCACATGCTCACATGTGAAGAAGGTAATGGCTCTCCAAAACTCTTTTTGTTAAATACATTCAGCTGCACATTGCCATTTAACTGTGGAGAATTAATGTTACCGGATTTGCAGTATTTGTTGCTAATGTGTTGACTGTTGAGAATTCCTCTATGCTGTACTATTCCAGCAATCGCTTCATTAACCAAATGAAATTAAAATTAACCCTTTATATTTGCTACTGAATTGCAGAAACAAGGCTGCTGTCCTCCTTGCAATTGGGTCCAGAAGATGGGTGGCTCTCGTCATTCTACTCATGCTTGATAAAAAAGGTAAACACACACAAGTTCAGAATATACCAGTCAATATGAATCCAAACTAACCATTTCCAGTTAATCTATTTCCTTTAGTTAAGTCTCTGTGCTTCTTGGAAACTAAACTTAGTCCCCTGGTCTCAGTATGAAAAAAAGAGTATTGTAGAAGCCAAATTCAGAGAAGTTGAAAAAGAAAGCTGCAATAGCAATCCTTCTAGTCCATCTATCAAGCATACACTAAAAAATGATACTGATCTTTTGGCCTGCAAAGCAGAGTACTTCAATCAGTGTGGTGAATATCAGAAGTGCTTTGAACTAACTTCAGAGTGAGTTTTTAACTTGTTTCAAACAGAATACATCTAAGATCATACCTTAGATGCATCAGGTCATCTGAGCTTTATCTTCTCTTTCACAGCCTGCTTGAGAAAGACCCTTTTCATTTGAAATGTACCTTAGTACACATAGCTGCTGCTATGGAGCTTGGAAATTCAAATGAGCTTTATCTTATGGCATCGAACTTAGTGAAGGATTATCCTCAAAAGTGAGTTTTATTTCTCTGCCTTTACTTTTACTTGTGCTCTTTGGATTTGAAGGATTACTCTCAGAAGCTACTTCTTTATTTCCCTTTCAATTTGAAGGATTATGCGTTGTTTGAGCTCTCTGTTTTCCCTTTTTTCTTCTATTTTCTTTGCTCGATAGATGTGTTAAAGGCACAGGGTGGTTTGCTTTTCATCATGATGGAATGTGATCATGGTTATTATCTCAAATGATTTGGTGTTCCAATAACAGCTCAGCTAGCTAACATAAATAAAGAAGTTAAAGAGAACTTTTGGCAACCATGTGTCCACAACACCTGAAATACCATTCACAAGTAACATGTCGGATATGCATGTGATTTGCCAGTGATTACTTGCAGAGTCCAATAAAAAGTACTGTGCAAGGAGTAGTATTCATCTATTGTAGTTATTGGGCTTCTCATCCATTAGGACAGTCACTCTGTTCTCTCTTCCAAAAAGCTAAAATTTACCTGATATATAACTGGTAGCAACAGTTTTCAGCTTGCATACGTTTCTACCATCATGAATGGAAAGATTGTAAATCCTAAGAAGAGGTAATGTAATGGTGGACCTATTAGAATATGATGCTCTGACTGCAAGATTCTTCCCTCCAAGGGGTATTGCATGTGAGTTATTGTTCAGTTTCTCAAATACAATAGAATCATTGAAAGTGAGCCCAACCAGTGCAGAAGATTAAATCAATAAAATGAAATGGTACATTAGAAGTGAAGATGGCTTCAGGGTTGTTAAAAAAAGAAAAAAAAGAGAAAAAAGAAGTGAGTGCATTCTCCTATTGTTCCTCATTTCAGTTGGATGATAATTGGGTATTGGCCTCCTTTTGTATTTCTCTAGATGTTTCGTTATGTCCTGCTCAAAATTGTAGAGAAATGAAATCTTCTGGATGCTTATCTGTATTTCATTCTTAAGTGCTTTTGAATTACTAATTATGAAGTTTTGAAGAGAAAAGGAACAGGAAAACTAAAGGAGATTGTTTCTCTCTCATAGACTTCACTTCAGCTTAAGCATGAATACAATGAGTGCCCATTAGATATTATGTAATCATGTATCATGTTTACTTATTAGGGCTCTCTCGTGGTTTGCTGTCGGCTGCTACTACTACTGTATCAAGAAGTATGATCAATCACGGCGTTATTTCAGGTAACTGTTGCCTGAAGCTCTGTAAACCATGTACCTGTTTTGCTTCTTTTGGTCTTATGGAACAAATTTGATTTTCTTCTTTATCTCTTTTTTACATTACAGCAAGGCTACAAGTCTAGATGGAACCTTTGCACCTGCTTGGATTGGCTTTGGGAATGCTTATGCTGCTCAAGAAGAGGGTGATCAAGCAATGTCAGCATACCGCACTGCTGCTCGTTTATTCCCAGGGTAATTTGGACTAGAACCTTATCACCTCTTCTAGTTGAAAATAATATAATATTTCTTCACCGTGTAGTAATTGAAGAGTGCATATTTTTGGCACATTATGTGCTTTTGTGAGGCTGCCTTTGTTCTAAGAAAATATTTTAGTATTTCCCTGCATAGTTGAATTTCCCTGCCACTCTAACTTTAGGAGTTTTATTTTAGGCCTCTCTACCAGCCTCCAAGAGAGGTCCATATATTATTACATATCTTCAATAAAAAAGCTCTAATTTATAAATTAAAATAAATATGAAGAAGAAAACATATATAGAATTGGCTTACAAGCGGTATAAGAAAATTAAAGTGTTCCATGTTCTTTGAAAAGTTTTTCATATAACTATAAATGGAAACATCCTAAATATAAAATTTTTATAAATATATGCGGGTTTGGGGGCTAATGTGTTTTCCCTATACCCAACCCCATCGTTGCAGGTACATATGCACCTTTATTGCAACCTTTTCAAAAGGATCGCTGTCTTTTAGTACTTCCTTCTACTTGTAAGAATTGTAAAGATTCACCATGGAATATTTCTGGCCTTCATCTTTCTTTCCTTTCATCGAATTTTTTTGGCCTCATTAAGAAAGAATAGAAGTATGTCTTTCCTTACCATGCTTTTTTATTCTCTCTTCCTTGCTTACATTGATCCAGAACTTAAGATTCATGGCGGTCCCACTTCTTATTGTTTGCGAAGTCTCAACTATTGGCTAACATTTTAACTATGAAACTTTTAGATGAAATCCTGGATTTTGTCATTAACCAGCCCTTTCCTTAACTGTAATGTGTTTTCCTATACCATACTTTTTTATTCTCTCTCTTCCTTGCTCAAATCGAGTCAAAACTTTAGATTCATGGCAGTACCACTGTTGCTTATTGTTTGCAGAGTCGCAGCTACAGGCTAACATTTTAACTGTGAAACTTTTAGATGAAATCCTGGATTTTTTTGTCGTTAACCTGCCCTTTGCTAAGTGTATTGTATTTTCTTGTTGCTCTTGTTCCTTGTGTTCTCTGAGTGTAATTTTTGGTATTGCCTTTATAATAGGAATGTGAGGTGGAAATTTTTATATGCGAGCATTATAGTGTTGCCTGGTAGTTTGGTCTCTATCACTTTGCTGTGATTGATATTTTCTGGGTGATTGACTGGCTTACTGGCTGGTAGCTAAAGATTCTTTTAGGTTTGGAGTTGTTAATTTAAACCAGAAAAGTGGTAGTTGATTTGCCCTGCCTCGCAAAATCTCCATAGGTAGTTTAAGTTGACAAAGAAGCTACTCGTTAATATAATGTTTTGATATTAATGTGTTTTTTTTGTTCCAAAATTATGCATTGTTGAAGACCTCTTATTACTTATCAATTGTCTTTTTACAGGTTGAATCTTGATATTCTGTTATTCCAGGTGCCATTTACCAACTTTGTATATTGGGATGGAGTACATGCGAACTCACAGCTATAAGCTTGCTGAGCAGGTGATGTTTTATCTTCTGAACATTGGCCAATTGCTGTTTTTTTTTTTTTTGAATTTGGGAAATTGATAAAAATTGAGTTTCAATAACACAATTAGCCACTGGTGTTTTAACAGGCGCTGCATGATTCTTCCCTGATGCTTGGGAAAACTCTGCTTTAATTTTTAATAAAAATGAAAATGGGGGCTTTGGTTTTGTTATGTTTCAGTTCAAGAATGCTAGATTTGAAGTTTGAACCCTTGGTAGGACATTATTTGTTGCATTGACTTCAAATTCTTGCTTGTAGTTTAAGCAAATGATTTCCATTTTCCATTTGGGGAATTATTTGTAGCTTGCTTGCAAAATGAGTATAAGTTGGATGGACTTTGAACATAATATTATTTCACTCTACTCATTCATCTTTAGGAATCCTGTTTCCTTTTATACTTTTCATCCTGTTTCTTGTTATGGTTTGTTGACATTCTGATTCGCTGTCCGTTTTTCAGTTTTTCATGCAGGCAAAGGCAATTTGCCCTTCAGATCCACTTGTATACAATGAACTTGGTGTTTTTGCTTATAACATGAAGGAGTAAGGATATTTCATTCCTCTCATCATTCTGTGGAAGTTTGACTTGGAAACTTTACTAACATGTCTCTTTTATGTTGTTAATGTTCATGGCTTTTCAAAGCATAAAATAATCAATTTTGCAAACAGCATTCATTATTAAGTGTTGTATGATTTTCATTGTATGACATTTGTTGAATATGGTGCTCTGTACTAAAAGTAATCAGATGTCTATGTTTTGATGCCAGTCAAGCTATTTGACCTACATAATTTTGTTTCCCAAACACTTTCAGGTATGATAAGTCTGTGTTGTGGTTTGAGAAGACTTTGAAGCACATTCCGTCTTTAAGTCAATTGTGGGAACCAACTATCGTTAATCTTGCCCATGCATATAGAAAGTTGAAGTACGTTTTAAAATTTATTGGAATGGCAGTTATACTCACTTTTTTGTTGTTGCTTCTTGCCATATTTAGGTGCTTCAGGATGTATGAGTGGTGTGCTTTTATCTAGAATTTTCCTTATACTTGAAATGAAATCTCTCTTATCCTCAAATTGAAAGATTGTTTTTATATTTCATGTTTTGATATCTTCATATTATTGTCTCGATGATTAGTATATTATGTTTTGCATTTGTTTGTCAATACTCACTTGCTAAGGTCTTTATCAACCTGAATGAATGAAAAGTAGTTTAACCCTCTAATTACACTATTTCTGGTAGTTGTGACAAATAAATTACTTTGAACTTGCATAACCATTAATTTCATTTAGTTCACTGAGCAAACCCATATTGATGATTGCCTTTTAGTTACAGTTTTTTTTTGGAAACCTTTGGTGATCTTTTTAGTTCTTAGCAAGGTTCTTATAGACTTATTAGTTTGTGTTTCTCCTTTTCTAAAGCTTTTGTGTGAGTATTTTTAAGGTTCAAGTTGGGAGCTTTCTTGGTGCACTTGGTCAAATACAACAAATAGGAATCTAGTATCATGTTATAGCAACTCCTTGGTCAAATACAACAGATAGGAATCTAGTATCATGTTATAGCAACTACTTGCTCAAATTCCATTGATAAGATTAGAGGAAGATCAGCTCGGGCCTTCATAACCCTCAACTCTTCAAGAATAGGATGGAAAGAATTTTCTTCAATACATTAATGCTTGTGTAATGTGGTCATATAGAGGCTCCTAATTGTCACATGATTGATTTGTTGAGCAGCATGGCTGACATTGAGACTTATGGTTTGAATTTTTGTACATATTCGAGTTGGAGTCTTATTTTTCTCATCCACTTGTTGCAGCCATCATCATAGAAGTGCAATTCTCTTATTACGTGTATAAATAAATGACATGGGATATAATTGTTCATTAATCATATCAAACTACTATGCCAGGATTTACCATGAAGCAATTTCATATTATGAGAAAGCACTTACATTATCACCTAGAAGCTTGAGTACTTATGCTGGTCTTGCATACACTTATCATTTGCAGGTAAATTGAGCTCTTTTCATTTCAATGTAAGTCTGTTAAACTGACATTTCATTTGGCTGTTGTACTTGAAAGCAATAGTTTGAGAAAAGCAATTGTAAGTGCTTGAAGTGGGGGGGGGGGGGGGGGGGGATAATGAAGTGGATTAGTGCGGATAATGAGAGTGGTCATGAAAATCCAAAATGTTATGAAAAGTAATCGGATTATGATATCATTGCTAATTTATAGCTTGTATTTCCAGTGACTTTTGTGCAAGGGTTCAAAACTAAAAACTATTTCAGAATATATTTTATTATTATAAAGGAGGAGTACTATGAGAAGATGAGCACCATCTATGACTGCTATGGAATTTTGAATATTTATTATATTAATAAGACGCCCTAAAATATCTCTCAAAAAGGAAAAAGAAGGATGAGGTCCTTAACTAGTCTATGAACTTTGATATGCATGATGTGTTGTGTAGACCTCAATATTTGGTGGCCTTGTTATGATTTCAAACAGGCCTATTCCAAGGGTCAAGTACCTCAAGTTTCAAACAGATAAAAGAGAACTAGTTTCCTGAAGTTTAAGTCTTTGATATTGAAAACTATTATAGAATATTTGCACTTGGTTTTGTTCTAGATCGTCAATCAACTTTCCGGGATGATACAAAAATTTTAGGGGGAAATTTCAGAACAGGAAATAGTACTCTCTCGACCTATCTTTCTCATAAAATTGTAGTCACGTTCTATGTTGTGCTTAAATGTCACACCTCATAGTTACTGGTCTGGTAAGGCAGGCAACAATGTAATGGTGGATTGGGTCCCCGTAAAAGAATATATCGTCATCGTTTGAGCATGTACACAAATTAACATGGGACTACAGTTCAGTTTCTTGTGTTGATTGCATGACAATCTTTTCTATTATTGAAATCATCCAACAACATCCTGTATTTGCTTGAAGCTAAAATCCAATTCTTATACTTCATTTTCAAGTAGTAGTGGATTCCCTAATTTACTAGTTGCAGATTATCTTGTCGGACTTGGACTGACTTGGAAGAATGAACAAGTTTTAATGCCAATTATAATGACTTGCCATTAGGTTGCCGGAAAAGTTGGACTATCTAAATGGGGGCAATGTTACAATTTGATACTATCATGATTTAAAAGCCATCTTATTGGTGCCTCTCTTTTTTCCCCTTTTTGCACAGGATGAGTTTACTGCTGCAATCACATACTACCACAAGGTAAGTAAGAGTATTGTATGCTTTCAGACACAAAATTATACTATGCTTATAGTGTGCTTCCCCCATCCTCTCTATCTTCTTCGTCATTAAAATCCCCTAAGCCCTGGTCTTATCATATTTTCTTCTCAATCAGGCTTTATGGCTGAAACCAGATGATCAATTTTGTACTGAAATGTTGAGCTTGGCACTTGTAGATGAAGGTCGTCGGGGCATAGACCCCAAAATTGAATTCCGCTGAACCTAGTCATTTTTAATGACATTATGTATACTCTTTTGTTCTTGTTGTAATGTATGTGGAATCAGAAGTCCTTGAATGGGTTGGTTCATTTTGGTCTATTTTAGAGTTGTGTAATATTACACTAGGGAGAGTTTGGCAATACCAATATATGTAATTCTGTATCGTTTGGTTTTATCTATTGACGCGACAACAAAACCAAAGTTATTTTTAGCATAAAAAAGGATGTTCAAGCACCGGAAGTATGTTTTTAAAAATTTAAAAAAACCTGCGCCTCAGCTTGATCTTGTTGGTTAAAATAAGCTGTTATTATTCAAGTAGATACAAAAAAAGCAATGAAATTAAATCAACCGAATTAAATAAAAGAAAAGTGATCATAATTTAATGCAAAGATAGAAACGGGATGGTTGTTGCTTGACAGTCTACGTTTATTTGGAAAAATCTGCTAATGAAAACAAGGTGATGGTGTTATTGATAGGCACTTCACCCGTGACCATTTCTTATACACACCAGGAGGCAAATTTTGCCTTGTGAGGAATGGACAGACACACAACAGCAGATGAAATGGTAATAAAAGCAAGCAAGTAAGCGGGCAGTCTGATTCAGCATACAATCCAAAGCAAGAAAACACTCCTGGCACAACAGCAAACACATGCCAGGCTATGTTTATTTGGAAAATGGAAAGCCACGCGTTCCTTCTGATTGGCATGGCGATATCAGCGCCCCTTTGAGGAGCTCCCCAAATAACTCTGCCGGGTCACTGTAAACCTCCTCATCTTCTGCCCTCAGAGATTCATCCACCTGGGAACCCGGAAAGAAATCACAGCTATTTCATCTTATGTATTAGGCTGTCGTTTTTCGAGTTCCACAAATTCAAAATTTCAAGTTCTTTATAATTTCTTTTGATATTGTCAAATGGACACCACCTTGTAAAATAAAATGCCATTAAGAATAATTTTCAACCAAAAAGCTAAAAAAATATTTATGTCATTTTTGCATAAGTTTTAATACCTTGTATAACATTGGGTCCAATCATACTTTTAATTTTTTAATTTTTTTTGATGTTTTGAAACATTTTAATATGGTGATATCACAAATAAATTTTTCTAAAATAAAAAATAAAATATATTTTAATATATTTTTAAGTAAAAATATATATATTAAAAAATAATGTTTACCATGCTTCTAAACAAACATTAAATTACCATAGATTCTATCTTCTTTTTTTTTTTGCAAAAGATAGATTCAGTTTTTTTTGATATTGTCAATTATATTTTTTAATTAAAAATATATTAAATATTTTTTTATTATTAAGTGTGTTCGTTATGCCAATAACATATAATTTTTTTTTTACTATAGATAGAATCATCAATAAAATAAATTTTTTGAAGAATTTTAGAGAATTGAGAAATATTATAGTAAATGTCATTGATAACATATATTCACTAATAGAATTATATATGATATTTTCTATCAGTGATATGACATACACACTGATAGTATTACCAACAAAATAATATTGATAATTTTATTATTTGATATCCTTTGTTTGTTTATAATTCTATCAGTGATAATATTATTGATATAATGATCAATATAATAAAAACTACTAATGATAAGTTTTTTTTAATAATTATCAATAATTTTATTGGTAAAACTTTTTCTGATAAAATCAGTGTCACCAACATTATAAGCCATTGATAAAATGAAAAATTCTTGATGTTAATATAATAAAATTATAAAAAAATAAAATAAAAAATATATTTTTTTTCACACGAAAAATACTTTTAGAATTTGGTTGAATCATTAAAACAAATAATCTCTAAAGTTAAACGAATCCTCCATAAAACAATGAATAAGGCCCATCAAACTTGAAAGTTGTATTTATTTTCATAAATTATTTTTTTTGAAAGAAAACGATATTTTGATGTTCTTAGCATGCTAGGTCATCAAACTTGAAAGTTGCATTTATTTTCATAAATTATTTTTTTTGAAAGAAAATGATATTTTGATGTTCTTAGCATGTTAGGTCAGAAATTTGTTTCTCTTTTTCAAATACTAGTATATTTATTTTATTATTATTTTTTCTAGTATCGTTTAAAGCACACCTTGAGGACTCCAAAGCCATTGAACTCAACCTTTTCTTTAGTAGAAGTCTTAGCATGCCAAGTCAGGAATTGTTTTTCTCTTTTATGATTATTAGTTTGGATTTTTTTTTAATCTTTTCATTATCTTTGAAAGCATAACTTGAGGACTCCAAAGCCATAGAACTCAACATTTTCTTCGGTAGGAGCATGGCCTTTGAAAGGTCCTTTAAAAAAACCCTTATGCCTGAATTTGAAAGAAATCACTAGAGGCCTTAAATATACACTCAGTGTAAAGATATCAAAGGCTATAGTCCTATCACATATCAAAAGATTAGAGAATAAAATAGTTAGAATGGTTTTACTATTGTTTGAAATTTAAGAGAGTCAGTTAGTATAGATAACGTATGTCACACCTAGCATCACGGTAACTAATTAAAAAATATCTCTCAATTGAAAAAAAATAGATATCTAACATGTTTTTTCTAGGAAAAAAAGTCTTGTTCAAGGAGTTGCCACCTAGCATTATGATCACTAGGAACCCTAACTGGTTAACAGAGATTCTATGATACAAGACTGGTTATGTAAAAGAAAAGATGCCATCACCCCTTAAGCGTCCTATCTAATGCATGCTGCATTGCTGGTTTTGTCTAAAATTGCTAAGAATTTGTTCTTTTTTTTTTTTCCTTTTTTATTCTTCCTTTCATGTTCTTGACTCTAGCGTCAGTGAACAATTCCTATGAATTTTTTCAACTCTAGCGTTGGTAAATATTGCACAAATCTCAAAAATACGATGTTTCTGACTCTAGCATCAGTGAATATTCTTGCAGAAAACAAATTTGAAGAAGAAATTTTCTGTCATTTTTATCTTGTTTATCCTTTATTATTATTTGCTCTTTTTAGATAGAAATAAAAAAAACATCGCATGATAGATTTGCATTTGACAATAATAGGCCCTAGATTGAGCACTTAACTTAAAAAAATATGAAACATAAAAAAAAAAATCAAAAAAGATTCCTAAATATTTTTAGAATTTTTTGATATTAAAAAGAGGCGCACTTAGCCAAATATCAAACTAAAATGGACATAAATTATGGTTACGGCATAAGGATGTGTTTTTCCAAATGCACCCTTAATAAACGTAATTTGGGCTGGTTGGGCCTAAAGCCCAGATCCGGCCCATTAATTACCTTCACATTGTTTTCTTGCAAGAATTACAGAAAATCAAAGAGAAGAAGAAGACTTTACCTAGTGAAGTCGAAGGCGAAGGTAACTGTGCAGGAACCGACTGGAGAATGCTATCCTCCTCCTCTTTTCAGTCTCTCTCTTTTTTTTTTGTTCTCTTTTGTAATGGCCTCCTCTTGGGGTTTTTTTTGTGTTTATCCTCATGTAGGGTTTTCTTTATCTTGTCTCCTTTTTTTTTTTGTGATGGCCTCCTTTTTGTATATTTTTTTTGTGATGGCCTTTCTCCAAGTTTCTTCTGATTGTCCCCTCTCTTTTGCATATATTGAGGTTTGTATTTATAGTGACAAAGTTCTTTCACGTGTGAGAAATAAAGTTTCAATCAAACTCATTCTCTTTTTTAAAGTTTGAATTTGATTAATAATCAAATTTGAAGGCGGATGACTATCATTATGTTGAAGATAAGGATTATCTTGAAGATAGGGATAAAATAAAAAAAGTACATTGTAATCCCTAGTTTTCATGCAAGTTGACAAATCACACTTTTCATCAAAATAAATCTCTGATATTTTAATTTTACATCTTAAACCCTGTAAAATTAAATTAAAAAGCCAATGGGCTAAAATTGGGTTACAATAGTTGCCCTCTCTTTATAATGTTTACGGTGCAAATGTGTTAGAAAATTGATTTTCTTTTGACTTTGTGTAGTAACTTTTGTAAAGAAGAATACTTGTGAAAACCCTTCCTCTTTTTCTTTCCCTTTTTATTTTATTGAGTTTTTTTTTGTTTATGCTTTTTTTTGTTTATGTTTTTTGTTTTTTTAAAGAAAGATGGTCTAATTATTCTAGGCGACATGTTCGATATGAAAAAAATATGCAAAAGATTTAGCAAGTGGTTTCATTTTTTCAGGTGATCTGCTCGATGAAGAATAAAGCACGAAAAGGGAATGCATTAAACGTCTAATGGGGGAAGATTGTAAGGTTCTTGGGTATGATTTAACTTCATTAGTAAAGGAAATATACCAGGGTTAACAATCTTAGTAGGCAAGTCACCCTCTGTTTCTCTTAATGGAACAATAAATCTCACGATTGATAAGGAAAAAGTGGAAAGATTAAATATGAGGTCTACACAGATTTGGCTTTGCTCATTTATTCCATTGGGTATACTCTAGAGTTTGATTTAGAGCTGAGCTGTACCTCATCACTGAGTGATATCGAGATAGTGGCTACAAAGGAGCAACCGAATATGGTTGCAAACAAGAACTCTACTTTTACAGAACTAGATTATGTCACTAAAGTGATTATAAAGCAGAGTTTTAGCAGATGTGAGACAGAGAAAGAAAGGGATGCATATGGCTATGAAGCTCAGGTTTACTTCACGAAAATCTTGGACTGTTACATGATTTAAGACTTGACTACAAGTGAGAAATGATAAATATCTACCCTTATAACTCTAGTCTCTAATATTCCACGTAATAATAAGGAAAAAGGGCTAGATAACATGATTGTCATGGAAAAAGATCAGCAAAGTTGGCCTAAAACGAACCTAGTCCGTAGCATGACTCTTAGGAATGGTAAACAACTTGGTGCCATTAAATGTCATGTGAGTTACAGGATGGCAGCCATTTCAACTGATTCAAATGGTGGTGATGGATATGAAGACTCAATTGATTCCTACATTAGAGTTGTCAACCAAATACTACAACTATCTCAGCCCCCATCAAACCTCCTTGTAGCTTGTGATGAGATTGGGGCTATGAAAGAAATTGGTTAGAAATTGAGTATTGACTTTGAAACAAATGGTGAGAGTATTGAAGTCACAATCTAAGAGGCCATCAATGCAGAATAAGACCATTAGGACATGTATGTCCAGTAGGCTTTCATGCATCTATGCATGGTTTTATGCTACTTTTTATGATTCTTAGCTGGAATGTGTGTGGTTTGGGATCTTGTTCTAA